CTGAATAGAACAGAAATATTCAATGAAAGACAGGCAGTTAGGAAACAATGGCACCAAAATACACAATGTTATTCATATTACAATGAATGCCAAAGTACTTAGCTAATGTCAGCTGATGGCGTTGAAAGGCAACTGGAAGGGCAGGGCAAGATAGATGATTTTGGACAGTTAAATCAATGCATAACAGAATAGGGCTACAGTTATAGTATCTGGTGCTCGCCAGGTGAAGCTCACGCTCAACTTTGGTGACACTTCCTTCAAGTCCATAAATATTGCTCTAGTCTAAAAAACAAGCCAAGCTGTCTCTAGACATAGAAAGACAAAAATCAAATATGAAAATTTATATATGAAAAAAATATATTCACACACACCCATTCTGAGACAAAACGTTAGTGGCTTCTTACTAATTTAAGGAACCTGTCTTGATTGTAAAACCCTTGGGAGAGACACACATATCTTTTCATTAAATTAATACAGAAGTAAGACATAAACTCTTCAGAACCATATATTGTTCTTTCAGTCTTTTCTGCAGGAGAAAAGCACCTCCTTTTTATTTAGGCAATATAACCATAGAAATCTTCTCTTACAATCACTTCTGTATTTTCTTATATGAGGAGATGAATTAAGCTATGGAAAAGAATGAGGTGCCCAAGAGAGAGAAACAAGAAGTCCCAGATTAAGAGGTACCAAAGACAAGAATTGCCACTTAAACATCTGTCACCCAAAATTATAAACCAAATTTCTTTTTGACAATATGTTCAACAAGACATCTTATATCCTGTACTTACAGTTACATTATTTCTGCAATTCAGAGTCTAGCAGATTGCGTCCAGCCAAAGGATGAAGCCTATCTTCATACCAAGTTCAATCCTAACACAGAAGGTATGAGTTATGAGCAAATGATCAATCCATCACTGTGGATAGCAAAAGCTGATGGATGGACACTGTAACAGGAGCAAACCAAGTTTCATTAACAACAGTCAGTGCATGGCTGTTACTGTCCCACGTTGGTCTGCCACCCCTATGAAAGCTGAAAGCCATCAAAATGCCAAGTATCTGGCACTCCCAAGCACTCCTTGGTGCTCCTCCAAGCAGAAGGCTGTTCAGTCCTACAGAACATACGTATGCTTTATGTTTCTCCAGATTCTGGCCAGAAAATACAAATACTTTGTCTCCTTCCAGCAATTAAATCTCAGTTTCAAAGGTGACTATACACTACTAAGGGTTGGGATATTTGCCAAAATGAACCACCAAAATAAGTAACCTTAGTTACAATGATGTAATGGAGTGCAGCAGGCCAAGTTTTCTGATGAAGTGACCTGTCCGGTCCTAACAAAATTATGCCAGATAATCTCACCTACATACATCATATACCACTCTAGAGTTATAAACTCTTAAGTTAAATTCTTAGCGTTCCCATACACAACAAGAAAAATATTCCTCTGTGAACACAGCTACAAAGCATTTTTTGCTTTGTATATGGAAGAAAATTTTCATTTTAAGTCAACTAGTTCAAAGAAAAGTTATGCACATTATTAAAAGCTTCAAAGAAAAAGACCAAAAAAGGCAAGTTTCAAAAGTATCCAACTATTTTAGCTATTTTACTCTATATACCTATAATCTCATTTTACAGACTGTAAGTAGCAATCGCAATTTCAAATTAGGTCAATAGTTATTCAGCATTGCTGAATACGATGAGATACTTAATAATAATAATAAATTAATTTTCCAGATTAAAATAACTCTATTTTTTCTGCATATCTTTTTTATTTGTTAGTTTTTCCTCATAGACTTTCCCTACAGTCACAAGAAAAGGTATGCTCCTCATACAGCTATAGACTTGGTTTTGTGAAGCTTAGAAATCTGGTGAACATATTGGTAGACATGTTAAGAAAACTGATACTCTAGTCTTTTTCCTCCTTACTGTAAGATATGCCCAGCGAGCCTTCCCTTCAGCAACAAAAGATGAATTTGCAAATACAAGTACATGAAAAAGGCATGACACCAATAATTTCTCATTACAATTGACAGAAAAATTATTTTTATGATGCACACATTTCTTTACTTATATTAAGGGCGGGAAAGGATATTAATTTCAATGAGATATGTTATGAAGTATGTCATTTATGATATCATCATGTTCACTAGGGGATAATACTGGTACTCAAATACCAAACTGTATTCCAACATGTCAACATCAGAAATATATTGCTACAGCTCAGTGGCAATATAAAATTGGGACTACAATCCCACCACAGACTGCACTGCAATGTACAAACAAAAGCAAGCTTAAAAAGTTTAAATGTAAAGAACCAAGGCAAAGAACAGACTGTAAACAAGATACATACACTTAAGTAGCTTGATAGAAAACTGGGGTTTAGCTAATTTTGAGTAATCCATCAACAAAACCAGACCTCTTTCTGAAGTTAAGGAAAGCTCCAACACCATTTCTTCATCAAGGCTACTCCCCAGCACAGCACACATTAGGTCATAGAGCACTACAGCTACCATGCATAAGGCTTGCATGTAGCTTCTAATCACCTTTTACTGCCTTTTAAGAGACAAAAAATAATAATTCAATTTTATTTTGCTACTGCAAGAAAAAAGAAGTTGCTTATGACAGAAGACAGTATTAATAACATTTTTTTTATTTCAAGTGGCATTCAACAGTCCCAGTTAAAATCATGGTCCACAGTGCTACTCACTGCAGAAATCCACTGGGACAAGTGCACCACTAGGGCCTTACACCTACAGACAGACAAAATCAACAAACAATTGGAAGAGGAGGGACCCAGAAGTGACAGCTCCACATTTCCATTAGCATCTCCACTCAAACCCTTTCTCCTGCAACTACCAAGAGGAGCTGATCAAAAGCTTGCTGCAGTGAAGCAAATGATTATTACAAAAAGTTAACTGAAAATCAAAGTGGGGAAAAAAACCCCAAACAACAAAACAAAGAACATACCAAAAAATAAACACGCCAATTATATAGAGAGGACAGTGACAAATGTTGACACCAGTGTGTCTGGGTAAAATTCCTATTTTTCTGAGCCACGCAATTCTACTCCAAAAGCGAATGTTTAAAGATGATGTAAACAATTCTTCTATCTGGTATGCTGGTAGTAAATATCTGAAAATGCCTATTCTTAATTTATTTTTGTTGACATACTAACACACCTGGCATGTTTCTGTCCAGAATTCTCAGGCAGTGACTCCAAAGATCCACCATGCAGCAGGTGAGCTAGGAGATAGGTTACACTGAGCTGCAATAGGTTAGCAAGCCTTAAATAAGGTTTAGAAAACCAACAACTTTCTGCATAGGCAAAATTTGAACATGGAAAAACACATACAGGGAAGCCCAGATGTATGCATTTTTCATGTTAAAGCACCTCAGTGCAAAATTTAAAGTTCATTTTGAATATTTAGTTTGCAAACATACACCCTGCTACTATCAGCTACAGTATTTTTGGGGTCTTTTGTTTCTTAAGGGGAAAGAGAGGCGCACACTGCTCAGAATCAAGGAATTACTGACACCTGAATGAACACCAATTTCTTAGTACCTTTTGATGAATTACCATTCTAAGCAGATGGCTGAAACAGAAGAAACTTCTCCCTGAAGCAGCCAGAAAGTGACAGCATAAACCTAAGCAGTATCAAGACACTAAAGCACCTTCCAGAGGACTGTGGGTTTTTTGCAATATCAGTATCACAGAAGTATCACCAGGAAAAGTAGCTGTATTAGCAATTTGTATGTTAAAATCCCATTCATATGCTCAAATTAAAATACTTAATTGAGTGCAGAAACATTGGACTAATAGTATCACATATTAAAAACCATTTTCTATTTAGTAAGATCCTTACACAGTGAATTATCTATATAGTTAAATACGCCTACAACGTAGTTTTCAGGTTTAGGAGTATTAGCCACTGCCCTTGATCTTCAAGAGACCTGAAGCCAACAGTTTCCAGAAAATATTTTTTTTTTATTATTTTTCATCAGGGAAAGTCTTTAGAAAAAGATCAAAAGATACTATACCATACTGTACTATATTTTAGATAATGTTGTTAATACAGATAACTGTCCAAGCAAAAATAAATGCCTTATACTTGCACAGATATATTTTCAGAGATACCACAGAGCATATATGCACAAATACCAACAGCAGCTTCACAATAAATGAAAAAAGTACCACTGCTAAAACATATTCAGAAGCTACACTGGAGACATCTTTCCAAAAGGGCAACAAATATTTGTGAGAAGGAAGGTAGTTTAATGAACTATGAAACTCCCTTTTCTCAACACAATTATTGTTTGAATCTCATGGTATAAGAAAAACAAATGGAGGTCCATCCTTTAAAATCCTCACAGGTCCTTTGCTCTAGCTGCCAAACTATCTCTGGTACCATTTGTTTGATCCAGATGCTTAATAGGATCTTGAATGTGACAATACAAAAGCTGATAACTGTACTTGAGTGTCACGTTAAGGGAAGATACTGACCTTGGCAAACAGAAGCTGACTAGGTGTACATACATGTCATCTTCTGGCACACATCCTACTGCATCTGGCACACATTTTACAGCATCTGCAACACTATTCGAGACAGAATGGGATCAACCCTCTCTCTGCAAATATTATGGTAAGACATCTCCCTGTCTTTGCACTGACATCATTCTGACGCTGTACCTGACCAGTAGTACTCAGAGATTAAATTATGTCAAGTACAGGAGAAAAAAAACAAAACCAAATCACAGCCAAAAGTTTCCTCCTAGATCTTAAAACATTTTTGCACAGTTCAGACTGGCATAAGGCAAAGCTGCCAGCTCCCAAGCTCTGGAGAAGTGTTTGCACTGGCCATCTGTGAGAAAACAGCTCACCACTGCTGCCACGAACACACGGTGCCCAGGTGAGTGACTGCACCCCAACTCAGGAAGCCCCCAGGAACTTCAACCAAGCAGAGCCCAAAGAGGCTATGGCTCCATTTCCAGTCCTTCTGCTCACCCTGTCCTTCTGCTATTGCAGGTCACAGCCACCAGCTCCTTCTGGGCCTGCTGGAGGAGTTATGCCTGGAACACAATAAGAAGTGAAGCTATTTAGACACTCTTTAAATTGCCATTTAGATACAGTGTTATCAAACTGAGCAGGGACCCCAGGTATTAGGACACCTCTGGCTTTTATCCCACCTGTTAAATAGCCCCCTGCAAGCACAGCTTTGGGAAACTTGCCTTTAAGTGTTCCTAGTCACAAGACCAATCATTGAGGAGACAAAAGCTTCCAGAATCAACCCACTTAGAGCACTTTACTTTGATTTAGCTATAAATGGTGATTTTCAAAACCACGCATTTGCGCTGTCATAATTGCATAAAATTCAGAGGGCTTTATCCACAGCATGAGTAGAAAGACTATTCAACATTTGGGTGTCTGGTGTTACTAGTATGAGGAGAAAATAGAACCTCTGCCTCCTCCACTGAATCCAGATGTTGCAAACATCAGTCTCAGAACTAAAATGCATTGTATTGGAGGATTGCTTACACTTGGTTTTGATTTTATGACATACATCAGCTTGAAAGCAGGGATGACTGGTGACGTAGAGTCCTCAGAGTTACAACTGCTCCTTCACTCAGAAGCAGCCAAAAAAAGCCATCTTTGACTTCTCAATGAAGTACTGCTCCTTTCAGGACAACGGTCTCACCACACGTGCCCACACTTTTATGATTTTCACGTTAGAGTCACTCCTCAGGAAGCTCTTCTTTGAAACCATTCAAAAGTCAGGCCGGGACATAAACAGTGCTTTGGGCAATGAATTGCATATCAGTTCTGCTCCCTGGTGACAGTGACTTCCCAGTTATCCATTGGCAACACTAATCCTACACCCCTGATTCCACGTATGCCAACAAGCCCTACTTGTTGAGTACAAAGTACTTGGATGTAAACACCTGGAGAGCAGGCAAGGTCATCAAGAATAAGTTTACTATCTCATTGAATTCCTAGATTAAGGCTTTTTCTACAGCAAAGTTACCTTCTGCTCTCAGAAGAGCAGCTGCCCTTGCACAGTTGCAGCCATGCTGTTACCTACAACAGCTGAAAACGTTTTCTAGGAAAAAAGCTAGTACTAGCTGACTTCCATCCTTCCTATGCCGCTTGTCTGTAGGGACAGGAGATGTTACCCAGCACATTTCATTTTGATAATTCTGGGAGGATGCATTAGACAGATGCCTACTGTAGTTATTATTATTTATCCAGTGTGCATCTGTTTTTTTATATACAGTTCACATACTGATAAGCTCCAAATAGTTGTTTTTATATGACATTCTTCAAAGGAACTTTCCCATGCTCCCATTCCTGTTTGCGTGCTGCTCAACCGGGCCGTGTGTTCTCGATTTTTCAGAATGCAGCCATCTGAATACATTTAATTCTAATACCAACACACTGAGAACAGAAGCAATGGAGAAGAGCCATATCTTCCAATATTACAACGAGGAAAAGCCAAAGGAAATAAAACAGCATGTGAAAGGGAAGAAAAAAATTAGAAAATGTGACTATTAGTCCCCCAAAACATAACTGCTCTGACTTTGGTAAATCCTCAACAACTGCCAACAAGTGATGGTGGTACCGACAAGAGTGTGCTGTGTAAATGCAACGATGAGACAGCTGAGGGGGCTGCACCCTACTCACAAGAAAATAGCACTGATTTAAAAAAGAAAAAAACAACAATGAGCATACATACATTAGTTACACTTCATAGACATGCCCCATCCCTGGAGGTGTTCAAGACCTGGTTGGATAAGGCTTTGAGCAATCTAGTCTAGTGGGAGGTGTCCCTTCCAACTCTAACCATTCTATGATATCATACAGTTTTTAATTGCTGGGTTCATCTCCTGACTTAACATCCCAGTCAGCAAAACAGGATTCAGTTTGTACGTTTTTTTTTTTTAATGCTTCCACTTTAAATAAAACATTATAATAAAATAATAATAATAATAATAATAATAATAAATGCCACATGATCCGAGTCAAAAAAACACCGGATATGTCACTATTGATAATGATAGCTCCTCAAATAAAGCTTAAAACATGCATGGCTTCTTTCAGCCTAAAAGCTTAAACCATAAAGCAATTTTCACAAATCTGTTTCACAAATAACATCAGATGGGAGAATGTGATGTGGGGAAAAAAAATAAAATCATTTCTAGCTATGCCAAAATTCCTATATTTGAGAAAGCATAAAGTCTTGCTTGCTTACGAGCACGAAGTAACTCATGCTGTTGTGTCGAAAGGATTATTTTTACTCAAAACCAATATTCTGGGGCCAAAAAAACAGACCTACTTTGAGCAATAAGAGGACTGCTAACACAAGTACCCCTTAGCACTGGGAAATACCTTTTCCTCTAGGGAAAAAGCCTTGCAAATGAGTTTTCAGCTCACCTACTGCCAGATGTAAACACAGAAAGATAATCATGCTACTCTGACCACCTCTTTTTCCAATGAAATAAAGCAGTCATTGTCCCAGTCAAAATTTCGATGTAAGGCTACAGACACTGTTGACATGTTGTCACCTGCTATAAACACTGAAAACTTAAGTTGTTCTCTCCAAGTTTCTTCCAGTTTGACCGCTTTCTCCTCTGTCATCACCAGGTTCGCCAGAACAATCCAAAAATCAGACAACTACCAAAAAGCCCTGCATGATCCACCTGCATTGGATATGCTGGGTCTGGCTATGTCAGGTCTTTTTAACAATCACAGCCGTAGCATACACCAGATAGCATTGCAAAGCAAGATGTATCTGCTGACGGGCGGCATCAGTTGCTGGAAACAAGCACATCTGTCCTCGTTCTGTTACTCTTTGAAGGGCAGCCAGAGAGATATTCCTGCTCAGTATCACCCTTTCAGCAAGGTTTCCATTCAGCTGTAAAAGGTAAGTCCAAAATGAAGCATGAATGGCAAACATTAGCTGCAGCAGCAATGTACATTAAAATCAGGGTAGGTGTATTTTACCAGTCACTGGTCTGGGCAGCAGAAGATTTGGATCAATTGTGGCTTAAGTCTATCTAGTTCCCAGATGCGGTGGCTCTGCTCTCCAAAATTCCACTCACTTGCACCAGAACCTCATCCATATGGTCAGGCAGCAAGTTGGTTCTGGGAAAAACATTTATTCTTTGTTTGCAGAAATTAATCATGAATATTAGCACCAGTAGGTTACTGCCAAAGGGAAAGCAGGGAGGTACTACTCGAAGGAAGACTGGACTGTGGCAGTTCCTGCAGCTTGAAGAGCAGACAGCTCTGCTCTTTCTACCACCTCTGCTACCTGGGTAAGAACCTCTGGCCAAGGGACAGAAGAGTGTCTGGGGTGGAAACCTCTGCAGCAGCTGCAGGTAAATTACACAAGAGAAGTAACTCAGAGCCTACACAGAATTTTCCACGCCTATTCCTGAAACTTTTTTGCTTCTGAAAACCCCCTGGACATTCCTTACCCAACAGCTATTTCAAGACAACCAAACTGAACAAGTAATTAAAGTCAAGTTGACTTTGTTTTTCTTCTAGGGTACCTCTTAGTGCATCACTGAGGTAGACATTTTCTGCTCTGTGTATTTTTCAGCAGCACTGAATACATTACCTGAGATCAGTAATGTACTTTTCTGCCTTATCTAGTTATCAGAAGAGAAAATATTAGTCGCCCGTTGCAGTATACGATCAATCTTAAAGAAATTAGTAACTTACAATTCCTTTTGCTTCCAAAGCAATAAAGAATTTCATTAAACTAAAACTCTGAGAAGTGTTTTTGCAGTCTGTCACGGAAGAGCACTCATGTTTTGTATGGGAGAACATGACCAGAGAGAGCACTAGGAGGTGAGCCCTGTGATTTGGAACAGTAAAAATCAACAAGATCAGAAACGCTAATCTCAAAACCTGTGGAGAGCAGAAGGGGAAACCATTACAGATAAATCAAATTTATGCTTTGGTCTTCAAAAGTTACAGATAAAAAAGTGGATGCTTTCCCAACGGAGGCTATTGGCTCAGATCTCATTTTAAGGCCTCAAAAAGCACATTTCTTTCTCAAATGCCTATCAGCACATGCATAATATTACATAAGCCCCTTTTGTGGGGCTACTTGAAACACAAAATTACTTTTGACTCACTTGTCTTATGTAAATTTACAGTGAAGTGCCTCCTCTGAAAAAATAACAAAAATTAAAGACACAGGATATCAATATACATGTAGCAGATGAAAGCTAGAAAAATTGGGGGAGGGAAGAAGAGTGATCTCATTCCCTTTCACACTGAGTGTTCTAGCAGGAAATGTACTACCGCTACATTTGAGTAAAAGATCAGACACCATAACCAGCAACTGGAGAAAAAAAAAGAAACCAACAAAAAACACACAAGAAACCACACATATACTTAAAACCAGAACTTTCTCACATCAGGCTTCAAAAGGGTGACAACAATGCTCAGTTGCACAAGATGGGGGGAGGCGGTATGTGTCACACAGCAGGTTTGGGCAAACCCTGAGCTGGTGCAAACTGTCAGTGTTAAACCGAATGCAGGATGGTCACTCAGGCAAACTTAAGATATTTCCTATGATGTAAGAAATGTCTACGATAATTGACCCAAGATTAACCTCATCTCACTATAACATAAAGAACATTGATTTAAAATTTATCTTAGACAATTAAGAACTGAGATAAATTTGACTGGAATTTTTCTTTACTAAAACTGCATTAGTATCTTTGAAAATCAATTTTTAAGATCGCAGGTCATTTACCATACTTCTGATTGCAATGGGTAGCAGAGAGATACATTTTGCCAAAATATATAAACAACTACTTTGAGATGTATTTGAATCTGTATGTCTGTTCATTAGATACTTCTACTGAATCCCTCTTTGGCAACAACAGCACCAAAGGGATTTTCACATTTTGCTTTCACACCCACTGTGGAAAAAATTCAAACACATCTATGTTAATTAGATTTAAAAGACTCTGAAATAAAATATTACTCTTATTAATACCAGGACACACACAAAAAAAGAATCCAGTAACACACCCCTCCAGTAGCCAGATAGATAGAAAGACAGACAGACAACCCCACCACCACCATTGGTCCATTCTCTGTCCCAAAAAAAGAAATCAAGCCTCTTGAAAGATCAAGGCACTCAAAGTATTGTTTTTAAAACTACAGTTTAACAAGGTTAACATTTTTCTCAAGCTGACATACAATTTTTTCTTCTATCGTAAAACTAAAACAAAAAAAGAGCAGAGCATTCTCCACAGATTCTGCCAGAAATACTGACTTAATCAAGTAATTGGCATTTAGGAGATTAAGAATCAGACCTAAAAATTCACTGTCACCATTGCAGTGAAAATGCAAGTGACTGCGGGTCAACTGAAAAAGGAACTTACATTTATTTCAGTACTTTGAGATTATTGCAGACATTTGGTAACAAAAACGTGAAAGATTACTGCAATGCAGTTTTTGACAGATAATATTTCCTGTCGAGACAGAACAGAAAGAACTGTAGAGCTTCAAGATTGTAATCGTTTCGTACATTTCTACGCACAAAGTACTTTTTTAAGCAAAATATTTCACCCCTGCAGCTGCTATCTCTTAGATGTTCTGCCATCCTTCATCTTCATCCTCCCACAACTGGAAAGGAAGGAAGAAATGACAAGACAAAGTTTTCAATCTTAAAATAAAAAAGTTTTATACGCTATAGCAGGAACAGATAAAAGAATCCCATGTGCATTATGAGTTTGTGCAATTATATCAACAATAAGAGACTGTGTAAGTTGCTTCCTTTCCCAATTTGGCTTTAAAGACATGCAGGCATTTGCAAAACTGTGTTATAAAACAAATAAGAATGTATATGAGCTTTTACTGACAGATGTCTCCCAACAGGGGTCAATGCCAGGTTGTTCTTCCCCAGCCCAGATTTGCAATCTGTTCTTATCTGATTGAGTATCTTATTGTTCTGCTGTTCAAAAGAATTATATATATTTCAAACACCAAGAAACAAGATTGGGGAAGACAAAGGCTTAGTATGAAGCTCTAAAGCTGCAGTGGCTCTGATCCAAGTTTATCTGCACCGATTCATCTGAAAGATTGAAGTTTGGGTAAAGTAAAACAGATTGCAAGGCACAACTGATAGACACTATCCAAGACAGAGTGGATATGTCTAAAGAAATGAGTCAAAATTTACGAGGAAACAAGGGATGTAAGAACTCTCACAGATATGGCAGGCTTTGCAGGGTTTCTTTGGGGAAAGAAGCATGTGAGGCTGTATTCAAAATAATAATCTAACAGAGGGAGCACCAGACAAGACTGGAAGGTGATTTTAAGGAGCGATAGCAGGTAAGCATGAGAAAGACTTTTAATAAAAGCTTTCATTCATGCAAAAAAAATAACCTGCACAAAATAAAGGCCAACTTTTGTCACCCTGGCTTACAAGAATTTCTCAAGCTAAAACAGAGAGATACATTCTAGATAGATGTAGATGTAAGCAGTCTTCCATTCTCATACAGGGAATCTATTCTACTGATTTACCAAGTTCTACTGTTCTACTGCTTTAAAAGGAGAAACACCCACATGCTCCCCTTTCATTGACAGATTACAACACTCTTACATTCTTTTGATACAATAGGGCAAGCAGATGTGGAACAATTTTCAGAGATAGTAAAAAATTAATCCAATTATGAACAGAGTGAAAACCACAGACAGCAAAGTTTTGAAAATTAAGGCTTACAAAAGATGAAATCAGGATTTCAGGTGTTGCATGTGTATGGTGCTCTCTGAGCTGGTGCTCTGAGTGCTCATGCAGCACTTGGGAAAGTCAGGTCCCAAAAATTCCACATTCTGAAGGAAGAAACAAGTAATCAACAAGCAAATAGATGCTTGTAGTCTGAATTTTCTATTCAGTAGTTCTGAGCAGACTTGTGACTTGTCAGACACAACCACTAGATTCAAAAGGCTCCTCTTTATCTAACGCTTCCTTCGTAAAATCTGATCCAGCTTGCAGAACTTACATTTTTCTGGTGTTTTTTCATCTCAATTTTCTCTCCCTCATATATATTTTAGTACTTCTATAAAATATGTATATGCATATACACATATGTAAAAATTGTATATATAAAAATGCCCCTCTTCTTACGTACTTTTCCCTTTTGCATCAATTTGAAAGCGATAGTCTTTAAAGTCCCGTCAAAACAAACCTAATGGGTACCAGTTACTAGAATTTCCCACTCAGAAGCACTAAACCACTTTACGTGCTGGGACCTCTTCACACTATGCAGCGTGCTGCGAGAACATGAAACTGACCATCTAAGGTACCCATGTGATATTTATGGGTTTTACCCCTTCGTAAGTTTCCGCCAGTGTCTGCTGACAGCTCAGGGGGTTTCAAGCAGGCAGTGGAGCTCCTCATCCAACACCGGCCACGCATCCCCCAAGAACGTGCCCAACAGCCTGCTACAACTTCGGGTCAATATTTGCTTTTAAATTGAGAGGAATGAGTAAGTAAGCTGGTGTTTCTTGCCACGCCATCAAGCACCCGTGTCCCTGAAGGCCGGCCAACTTCTAGAGCAGAGCAGGCAGAGGGGTGTGAGGTGGGCCCAGCGCCCCAATGCCAGGCCCGGGGGGCTCCATCCCACCCAGCCTCGGCAGGGATGGCCCGGCAGCACCGAGGCCGTGGCCCAGAGCCCGAAAGGCCCCGTTTCGGGGGTGAGGGAACCCCCAGCACATGTCGGCAGGGCCTGGAAGCAAGGTCTCGGTAAGAGGAGGAGACGGGGCTGGAGCAGTGAGAGGAGGAGACGGGGCCGGAGCGGGCCGGTGATGGCAGCCTGCCTGCCCCTTCCTGCCCCCAGCCAGGCGGTGGGGCCGGAACCGGGTCCCCCCCCCAGCAAAGCGAGAAGCGCAGCCCCTCCGGGAGAGCGCTGCGACCCGGCGGAGCGAGCGCTCCCCGCGCGGTGGCCCCTGGCCCGCTGTGAGGAGGAGGAGGAAGAGGAGAAGGAGGAAGAGGAGGAGGATGAGCGAGGGGGAGCAGAGCAAACACGCACCTTCCCCCTGCGGAGCGGGCCGCGGCGGCGCCAGCACGGCCCCCGCCTCCGCCCGGCCGGGGAGGAGCCGCCGCGGGGGCGGGGGAGACGGGACGCCGCCCGGGCCCGGGCCGGTGCCGGTTGCGCCTCAGGCTGCTTGAAGCCGCCTCAGGGCACGGCCCGGCGCTGCGGGTGAGGCCGAGCGTTATCCCCTCTCTGCCCGGCGGGTTGGGTCGCCTCACAAGCCCCTCTTGAGGCGGAGGAGGCCTCCAAGCTCCCATCCACCCTTCATCCCCAGCCCTTCCTGGGGAGAGACTCCCCTCAAGGTGAGGGGGCTGGCGGCCACACGGGGTGTTAGCGGTGCGAGGGCTTACAGCAAGCGGCCAAAACCCAAGGAGGCTTCCCCTCAGCCTTGCGGGGTGACAGCGGCCTTCTCCCCGGGTGCTTCAGAGGAGGGCGGTGCCATGTTAGCCCCTGATGGCTCCCAGCTGGTGGAGAGCCCTCACTAGCCGAGCTAAGGCCACCTCTGCTCGCAGGGAGGCCTCCTGTTTAAATAAAGGCGCCTTTATAAAAACGCTTAGGTAAATGAGCGCAATTTCTTCTGTAGATAAGATCTTAAAACACAAACATGGGTCTTAATCTGCAAACACTTGAACTGGAGCTCTCAATGGGTTCTGCGTGAGTCAATGGGGCTACCCAGGTGCTTGCAGTAAGGGGTTTTTAGCATCAAAGTGCCTGGCACATCTCCAAAAAACTGTAGCAGGTAGACAGGGAAGAATTTCCCTCTCATATTCAACGCTGCTCCAAGATCTTTCTGCCTAAGTGAAAAGACTGTGACACTGATGAGCTTTATGGGCGTGAACCTCGAGAAGGGATTTGAAACACACGTTATTACAAGATAATCGCTGTCCCTGCCAACCCGACTCCTCCACCCGTTTGTTTGAGGAGACTCGTTTGTGGTTTTTTTCCGCTTTTATTTCTCAATGCACAATGTGGATGGTACATTTTTGCAGCTGGGGGCTGTGTCCTGCTATAAGGATCGTGGAGCCTGCAGGTGGGATGCAACAATAACATTTCTCTCAACCTGCCCAGTGTTTTAAGAGTCCTGTTCCATTAAGGGTAACAAAGTATCTGTTTAAATAAAACAGTTACACAAGTGAATGACTGTTGTAGTTCTGCCTGTCTCTTTCTTGTGCGTTCTGTATATTCTTTACATGTCGTGCTCTAAGTGTCCGTCTGGGACTGCATCTCTGGAAAGAGATGATACACAGTGATCAAGTAGTTATAAATGTGTCACTGTAAGTCATGTAAGAAAATATTCCACCCTCAAAGACTGGCTGTTGGACCCACAACCTCTTGAACTTAACCACTAACCTATGGCTTTCCTTTTTCCTTCCAATGAGAGAGAGAACACAGGACAGGTCTGCATGAACAAGCTCATGTAAAACTGTACTTGCAGTGTTTTACTTTAGGATTTTGGTTGATTCCTGAGAGTGATTACTTCCCTCTTCATTTGCTCCCTTTACAATTAAATCAATTCCCAAAACTGGTTTCCCATTAATCTTTCCTGATTCGTTTGTTAATCCTTTCACAGCCAAGGAGTCAGAAGGATGAGTAGCAATAAGCCATCTTTTCCTTGTCATCAAGTGGTCAGAAGGAGGGAGAAATCTTGGCATGGCTGTCATTAATCCCAGGTCAGAGGGAAAAGAGCACACTGCCCGTGTCTTCTGTTGTCCTTGCCTGAGAAGCAATAAGAGCAGGTAAAGAGGTGTAACAACAAAACCTAAGGCTCCACCCCTCAAGCCTCTTCAGCCAGCAACATGCATAAAGCTGTTTATGGGTTTGAAACTCACCAATACCCACGTAGCCTCGGGAAAGGTATTTCAATCACACCCATCTCTTACATTATTTTCTCATATTTTGCATTATTCACTGAATACATAGTTTTGTTTTCCTTTAGTTTGCAGCTTCAGGACTTTCAGATTACTGTTCTTTCCTCCTCAGGGTTGTAATTGTAAATTAGGGAGAGGCTGGCGCTGAAGAGACCCGTCGTCAGTTTCTCAGACTTTATAAGCTACCATGCTGGGCAAAATCCTAGCTCCCCCATCCAGAAAGCACCCATGTGATCCATCTTGCGTACTTTTGAACTCACTAAGACTATTCAGGTGCTTGAAGATCTTCACAAGATTGCTGTGATTACACTGGTGGGAACAGTGACAGAGTCAAGAACTTAATATTCAACAAAGGGATTGGATATATATGAATGTAAAAAATCATCAGAATTATCTGAGGGTAACTTGGTGCTTCAGGGAATAAGCCAGTATCTAACTCTTAGGAAGATGGGATGAAATCTAATGTGAGGACAGATGACATTGGATTTTTTTCACCTTCTGTTATGCAGTACATGAAGCAACTGGTGGAGTCTGTTGTTAGGCACAAGATACTGTCTGAATGGGTCCTGAATCTCTTCTGACAGGACAGTCACTTGGTACCACGCTTCTTCCTGCACTGAATGGGGATGATGGATGATGCTATTTCACTGTGCTTTGTTTTTCCAGTCTGTTTAGGCTGCATGGTTTTTGGAGCAAGGACTACTTCAGTGGAGCTCTGAACTCTACTGAAGTCTCTAAAATGTGACTGTATTAAAATAACAAGAAGAAATCACAAACATGTTCACATACTAATTATTATGCAAAGTGGGGAGAGGGAGGGAAGAAAGTATGAGATTCCTTTGAAAAGCTGCCAGCACAGGTCCAAACACAAAAGGTGTTTGAAGTGGGAGCAGGCTCTACCAGCCTGAAGGAATTGCCAATATACCAGCTATCCTTGTTTAGAAGCATGCTCTCCATTTTCATTTCATGACATTTATTCACTCTACCAAAGCTTTTTCCATTTTTTGTCTCCCCAAAGTCTCCTCTAGGTCCACATTGTATTTCTGTACCACTAGAAGGTGTTTTCCTCTGCTGCTTTGCACTGTAGGCAGGTAAATATGGCCTGCTAATTAATGCAAACTTCAGCTTTTATTTTCTCTTCCTTTTTCCATTAACGGAGCTGAAAAGAAATATTCTGAAGCTTTCAAGCAGCACTGTTTTTCAGTTCTTCCTAGGAAGAAGTGTTCAAGCTCAACCCTGACTTGTACATCTTTCCCTTTAAGCAGCCTGGCAGCAAATAAATATACCCTAACAGTGCACAGAATGGAGAAAAAGGTGGGGACATCATGAAAGAAAAACAGCAGGCACCTCGTTTGAGCTATTCCATACGTCTTGGGACACGTCTTAGCTGTGGCCTGTCCAGTTCTATATGGGTTTACTGTCAGAAGTCGGCATTAATTACCCCAAGTTTCTATGCATTCTCATACCAAGTTGATGTAAGCCAAAAAAAAATTCAGCCTCTCCTGCTGAAGTGAAATCTCCTCTCTGAACAGCACAAACCAACATATAGCTACTAGCAAAATGCCACTGTACGCACGCTCCAAGAACACAGCGATGTTGGCGGCTGCAAGCCCTGGGTCCTTCTTATCCAGTGTGCAGCAGCCCTTCTGCTGGTACAGCCCCTCAAAAAAAGCAATGATGAACACACATGCTCTGGGGACATAAAAATGTCAGCAACTCAAGACCCACAAAAAAAGTTCTGGCAGCAAAACTTGCTGGTAAGACACAGCCTGGCAGTGTAATTTCTCCTGCAGGTTATTGCAAGTTTACTCACAGGGGCAACGGCTTTGCTGTGCCCCTGAGAGGTGTTGGTTAAACATTAGTGGAAAGTGTTCTCACTTGAATCTCCTTACAAACTGGGTGACTTCTGCTGCCATGGGGAGAGAGCAGAGCGTGGGCCCCTCATGTAAAACCAGAGGTGCAAGGAGCCCTCTCTGTCAGTCCTACAGATCTCCAGTCTTCAGGTAGCAATTGGTCCAGCAATATACAAGTCCTCCTCCACTCCTGTGTTTACAAAGCAAAGGCATCTGGATGCCTAACACCAATTATCATATATTTGTATTAAAAATACATTAAATGCTGCTTTAAATAACTTTCCTTATGATGAAGGAATTAAATTATAAATAGTTTCTTGCAGCAACTCCCTCCACTACAGTTAAGTACCTGTATTCATCTCAGTATTTTTGTGAGGATAAAATCCAGGTTCAACTCACTCAAAATCCAGGTTAGACTTATTCAGCACATATTTGTCCCAAACAAGTTTAAATCCACAGATACTTATAAAACTGCAGATAAAATACATGTTTTATTTCTGGATATATAGACTTAAAGCGAATCCTCTACCCTGCCATGTACCAAAGCAGCCCTCTTTTCATCTACTGTAATGGTGAGTTCCAAGTTTAGAGGACATCCCGTGCAACCCCACCGTCCCACAGGAAAACACAGTTACTCCCTGGGCACAGCTCGGGCTGGGTTGAACTGCGTTGAACACGTTACAGACTGTTTTCATACAGGATGAGCCAATAAAATACCCGTCTAACACGGGCAGACGGGAGGCTGAGCAGGAGTGTGACCTCTCTGGGTGGTGATGCTTCAAGCCAGCCATTGTACTGGGAAGGGGAGCATTCTTGGAGCAGCAAATACTGGACAGATGGACAGAAACAGTGCCAAAATAGCTCGTTACCATCTGAAAGGACCAAAAAGTGAGAGGTGTTTTATTTTGTGATGGGTTTTGAATGCAGACAAAGTCCCCACCCAACGTGTGGATGCCTGCTTCAAGACCCAGCTTCGCCAGTATCTCATCGAGGTTTAACTACAACACTCTGAACAGGCTGCTCAAGTCAAGCAGAGACAGTATAGCATTAATCATCTAAGCTTCAAAAAAATGTGATTCTGCAAGAGAGTCAATGTGTTACTATCAAAATTAACTAAAGTTTTGGAGTCTTCTTCTGATCCTCTACAGTATATATTTAGAAGATGGCATGATTCTTACTCAAATTTGCAAAGTCTGTCTCATCACAGTTTGAAAGCTTTGATGCACATGCTGAAAAGTGAGAAGCTGATATACTAAGAGCTTGTGTAAAATAATATATTGCTTATTTAAGAA